TGTAAGGACAAGGGATGTGATTTTTCAGGGGCGGGCGACCTAAACTACCCAGATATCTGCTGGGAGGAGCAGTCAGCCCGGTCCAACTGCTCACGGAGGTTCCTAGCCGGTATACAGGATCTCCACCTAACCCAGGAGGTGCACAGTCCCACCAGGGGAAATGTTTTGCTGACTCTGGTGCTGGCCACGGGCGATGACCTGGTGAGGGGTCTGCAGGTACTCAACCACCTGGGCGACAGCAATCATCACCTGCTGGAATTCACCATCCAAAGCAGGGTGGTGAACGCAAGCAGCAAAGCAGAGGTCCTTGACTTCAGGAGGGGCAAGTTCTGTAAGCTAAGAAGGTTAGTAGGAGACACATTGGGGTCTTGGAGCTTCAATCAGATGGGAGTCCAGGATGGGTGGTTGTTCCTCAAGGAGACGATCCTCTGAGCTCAAAGAGAGTCAGTCCCAATGTGCACCAAGGGGGGCAGGAGTGCTAAGAAGCCCCCATGGCTCGACAAGGGCATCCAGGGATGACTGAGGGCAAAAAAGGAGGCATACGAACAGTGGAAGCAAGGGGCTATCACCCAGGAGGATTACACCTCCATTGCTTGGGACTGCAGGGAGGCGGTTAGGGAGGCCAAGGCACAGATGGAGCTAGCAATTAAGGGTAATAAAAAGTCCTTTTTCAAATACATAGGGAGTAAGAAGTAGGGGCCCACATTACCTGGTGCCTTCAGGACAGGCTTGGCATCTGGTGATTGTGGCAAACGAAAAAGCTGATCTCTTCAATGAATTCTTTGGCTCCATATTCCTGAGCAGGGACCGGGACATCTCCCCCACTAGGATTGTGGACGGACCCAGAGGAGGCACCACCATGTCTAGGGTCAGGGACAATCTAGTTAGGGAACTTTTGGAGGAGCTGGACGTGTTTACATCAGCAGGTCCAGATGCTCTTCACCCGAGGGCAGGGGTCATAGCAGGGCCCCTGGCACAGCTTTACAAGTACTCGTGGGGCACTGGCCAGGTCCCAGAGGACTGGAAAAGGGCCAATGTGGTCTCCATTTACAAGAAGGGGAGAAAGGAGGACCCCAGCAATTATAGGCCAGTCAGTCAGACCTGACTGACCTATAATTATAGGAAGACCTTTGAGAAAATTATCAAGGAGCACATCTGCAGGGCCCAGCAGGGGAGGTAATGCTCAGGGGCAACCAACATGGGTTCACTGAGGGCAGATCCTGCCTGACTAACCTGGTTTCTTTTTATGATCAGGTCACAAAGTCCGTGGATGAGGGCGTCGAGGTGGATGTAGTCTTCCTGGACTTTAAGAAGGCCTTTGACATGGTTTCCCACCACATTCTCTCAAAAAAACTAGGCGACTGCAGCATTAATGCCTACACTGTCAGATGGGGGGCAAATTGGCTAGATGGTTGCACCAAGAGAGTGGTGGTGGATGGATAATTTTTGACCTGGAGGGATGTGGGCAGTGGAGTCCCTCCAGGCTTGGTCCTGGGGCCTGCACTGTTTAACATCTTTATCAGCAATCTGGATGTGGGTGTGGAAAGCACTATCCAAATTCGCTGATGACACAAAGATGAGGGGCAAGATGGGTACGCTGGAGGGGAGGGACAGAAGCCAGCTAGATCCAGACAGGTTACAGGGGTGGGCGGGTGAGACTAGGATGGAGTTCAACACAGACAAGTGCAAGGCGCTGCACCTTGGGAGAAGGAACCAACAACACACCGATGGGCTGGGGAACGCCTTTCTTGTCAACACGGTGCCAGAGAGGGATCTTGGAGTCATTGTTGACTCCAGGATGAACATGGGCTGACAATGCGAGGAAGCAGTCAGCAAAGCTAACCACACCTTGTCGTGCATCTACAGATGCATCACAAGCAGGTCCAGAGAGGAGATCCTCCCCCACTATGCAGTGCTGGTCAAGCCGCAGTTGAAGTACTGTGTCCAGTTCTGGGCGCCGCACTTCAGGAGGGATGTGGCCAGCATTGAGAGGGTCCAGAGGAGGGCCACTCGCGTAGTCAAGGGCAGCGGGTCAGGCCCTATGAAGACAGGCTGAAGGGCCTGAACCTATTTAGCCTCCACAAGAGAAGACTGAGAGGTGATCTCACAGCAGGAATTGTGGGAGGCTCTTTTCTCCTGGGCACAACCTGGGATAACAAGGAACAATGGCCACAATTGATGGAGAGCAGGTTCAGGCTTGATATTAGGAGGCATTATTTTACAATTACGGCTGCCAAGCTCTGGAATGGGCTCCCAACTGAGGTGGTGCTCTCTCCTACCTTGGGGGTCTTCATAGATTTCGGAGATTTCATAGACATTAGGGCTGGAAGGGACCTCAGAAGATCATCGAGTCCAGCCCCCTGCCCCAGGGGCACGAAGTCAGCAGGGGTCATAGGATCCCAGCAAGATAAGCATCCAAATTTCTCTTGAAGGTGTTTGAAGTAGTTGCTTGAACCACCTCTGGCAGCAGGCTATTGCAGACCTTGGGGGCTCGGATGATGAAGAAATTCTTCCTTATGTCCACACTGAAACAGTCTTGCAGGAATTTATAACTGTTCGACCTCGTCACCTCTTGGGGTGCTCTGCTGAACAATTGTTCCCCCAGATACCGGTGGTCACCCCGATAAACTTACAGGTGGCCACCAGATCACCCCTGAGCCTGCGCTTTTCCAGGAAAGAGTCCCATAGCTCTCAGCCTGTCATCGTCTGCTTCCCTGACCTCTGATCTTGCGCGTGGCTCTTCTCTGGACTCTCTCAAGCTTCTCCACATCCTTTTTGAATTCTGAATCCCAAAACTGGATGCAGTACTCCAGCTGCGGCCTCACCAAGGCCGAGTACAAGGGGAGAATGACGTCCTGAGATTTGCTTGAGAAGCATCTATGGATGCAAGCCAGCATTGTAGTCACTTTACTAGCTGCAGCATCGCACTGCAGGCTCATGTTCATCTTGTGGTCAATCATGACCCCCAAGTCCCTTTCACCTGAAGTGCTAACCAGTGTAGCACTGCCAAACCTATAAGCATGTTGCAGGTTTTTCCTCCCAAGGTGGAGAACCTTCCATTTTTCAGTGTTAAACACCATCAGGTTCTCATCTGCCCATTTGCTGAGCGTGTCACGGTCAGCCTGTATTGCCCTTCTGTCTTCAGTTTCATAGTAGCTAGGGTCAGGAGGGACCTGAACAGATCCTTTAGCCTGACCCCCTGCCACAGGCAGGAATGAATGCTGGGTTCACAAGACCCCAGACAGGTGATCGTCCAACCTCCTCTTGAATTTGCCCAAGGTAGGGGCGAGGACCACTTCCCTGGGAAGTTGTTTCCAGATTTTGGCCACCCTAACAGTAAGATATTGTCTTCTGATCTCTAACCTAAACCATCAGCTTGTTCCTTGTCATCCCAGGTGTTGCTGGGGAGAAAAGGGCTCTACCTATTTGCTGTTGATCTTCCCTGATGAGCTTGTAGGCAGCCACCAGGTCCCCCCTCAGCCTCCTCTTGCTGAGGCTGAATAGGTTCAGGTCCCTCAGTCTCTCCTCATAGGGCCTGTCCTGCTGCCCTCTCACCAAGTGGGCGGCCCTCCTCTGAGCCCTCTCCACGCTGGCCACATCCCTTTTGAAGTGTGGCGCCCAGTACTGGACGCAGTAGTCCGACTGCAACCTGACCAAAGTCACATGGCGGGGAGGATCACCTCTCTGGAATGGCTTGAGATGCACCTTTGGATGCATGACAAGGTATGGCTGG